GAAGAATATAAAGTAAAAAGCAAGTGTTTCCTCTCACCGCTTTGGGGGAAACTCTCTTCCCCCACAGTTTATTCCCCAGAGCTGGCCATGGTCTGTATACTTCCAGACCTGTTCCTATGTGCATGTTCCTTAACACACATGCGCACACACACACGCATGCACGGAGTTGGCGTTGGGATTTTATTTTTCAAAAATAGTCATACTGTATATAATTACCAGCTTTTTAAACAGTCTGTTACTGACATTTTTCTATATCAGTTTATATGGGTACACCACATTCTGATATTAGCTTTATAAGAAAATTTAGATGAACCAGAATTTATTTAATCATGAACCTATTAATGGACAGTTACGTTGTTTCCACTAAAAAAAAATATAAATTCCAAGCGATGCTGCGGTGGCAATCCCTGTGTGTGCGTGTGCACTTATGTGTCTCCACTAGGATAGATGCCTAAAAGTGGAATTGCTGGGGAGAGAACGTGCTTTTGAAATGTTATTGGTGGTGCCCAATTACGCTTCCAAAAGCCTGTGCGCACTTGCTGCAGTGAATGACAGCGCCCTCTCGTGTCCTCGCCAATGATGAGATGTTGCTGATCCGTCTTTATTTTGCCCATCTGATGAACAAAAATTAGAATGTGTTTATTGTTTTATTGTCTATTTGGTCAGTGATGAAATTTATTACCTTTCATATTTTTATTCTTTGGTGAATTACCTGGACGTCATGTTGCCTGCTTTTCCATTCAGTTGCTTGTATCTTCTTATATGATACATCTATAGAAACTCTTAATGTATTTAGGATATTAACTCTTTTATTTAGTGTATATGTTGTAAATATTGTTCCCTGGTCTGTTTATGGAGTCTTTCACATTAAAGCTCTTGCTAATTTTTACGCGTCGGATTGGTTTAACCTTTTCTTTATGGTTTCTGTGATTCATGCCATGTGTAGAAAGGTCCTCTTTATTTCAATATCATAAAATCATTTTTCTATTTTATTCTGGTACTTTCATTGGTTTGGTGTTCTGTTGGTTTTTTCTTTTTTTTAACTTCATCTGGAATTTATTTTTGCGTACATGAAAATGTAACCTTATTGCCTAAATGGAAAGGCAATCGTCGCACATTTGTTGAATACCGATGTACCTTTTATTAAATACTAAATTACTGATTTATTTCACATTCTTTCTGTGGTTCTCTGGATCTATCGATCTATTCCTGCATCTATCCTGTTTTAATTAGTTGAGCTTTATGGTATTTTGACATCTGGTGGGGAAAGAACCCATCATCATCACTGTTTCTCAAAATATTCATATTTATTCACCGTCATTCTTACTGTTGGACTTCAGAATCAGTTTCCTAATTTTCAAAAATTATTCGTTTGGTGTTGTGTCTGTAATTTCGTGGCATATGTGATTAATTTGAGAAGAACTGATATTTTTACAATGCTCAGCATTTTTGTCCAGGAATGTGATGTTGACTCACTTTTCTACTATGTCCGTTTGTCAAGTTTTTATATTTTATTCATGCCAGTATTGTACATTTTATGTTGTTTATTTCTAAGGTGTTTTTTCTAAGGTTTTTAAATATAATTTTATTGAAGTTGTAAATTTTGTCCCAATTTCATATTCTAAATGCTTATTGCTTAGGTAGCAGGGAAACCTATTGACTTCTGTATGTTGCTCTTGTATCCAGCCACTTTAACTCTCCTATTAGTTCTAATACTTCATCAGCTGATTATCCTCAGTGGTGGCTGTCTTGTTTTTGTTTTTGTTTTTGTTTTGTTTTTCACATCATTTGCAAAGAACAATTTTCTCTTTTTTCCTAATACTTATACCTCCTTTTTTCCCTTTAACTCATTTCATGGGCTAGAATCTGTAGAATATATTAAATAAAAGTAAAAGTGGGCAACCTTGCCTTGTTACTGACTCTTAAATATTTTGCCTTTAAGTATGAAGGTTGCTGTAAGATTGGGGAGATGTCTTTATCAACTTGAGGAAGTTTCCTTCAATAGCTTAATAAAAGGCTGGATGTTTGCTTTCTTTAAACTAGAAACAAGTGTTGAATTTGTTACTGTTATATTAAATCCTGTTATGAAAATCTTATGTGCATGTGTTAAATACAACCTGTTCCTAAGGTGAAAAATTGCTGGCCCCATCACAATGAGTATCTTCTAATGTAAAGAAATTATCTTGGGAGACAAAACAAGATTTGGCAAAACTTGAGGATTCTTGCCATCCCAAACCCTTAGAGTGTGGCTCCTTAAAGTGTGGCTTGGGTGTTTCTTCCTTTTCTCTCAAGTATTTTAATGGTATCTTGTGTTGTGGTAGGATGTCTCAGGCACAGAGGGGAAAGCATTCTGGGGTGACTCCAGGCCTCTGGCTTGAAGAGAAATTGCTGAAATGAAAACTGTGTGGGGAAGCAAGTTTGCAGGGAGATGAGGAGTTGAGCTGGGGCCCATTGAGTTGGAGGTGCCCGTGGGGCAGGCCAGCAGAGGCAGGTTGAGGAGGCAGAGTGTGTGTGAATCTGGAGGCAAGAAGAGAGGTGAGGGCTGGAAGTCGGGATCTGAGAGCCTGGGCAGGCATGGGAGTGCACAGTGAAGGTCAGAGGCAGAGGACAGGGAGAGCAGGCCCCAGGATGGGCATGGGGAGAGGAAAGCCAAGGAGGACAGTGGATGGTGTCAGAAGCCAAGGAGGGGAAAGTGACCAGAAAGAGGGACCTCTTGCAGAGACACAGGGGACTGAGGAAGAAGCAGATTTGTCTGAGACAAAGGACTTATTGGCCTTGACCTCAGAGGTTTCAGGGAAAAATGGGGTTGAGAACCAGGGAGGGGGACCATGCCAAGTGCCAACATGCAAAACAGTGCCTGGCACAGATGGGTGCTTGGTAGTCATTGTTGGATGGATGGGCAGGTTGATGGATGGATGGATAGATGGATGGAAAGAGTGGTCTGAGAGATCAGAGAAGGCTTCATGGACAAGCTGGGGCTGATTGTGTCTCTCTGGATAGAAATGAAAGCAGAGGATTCTTTACTTGAATCAGGAATGCCCCAGTGTCCTCCATCCGGGGAGGAAGCCGGCCTGGGCCTGGCTGGACCTCCAGGACGTGTGGGAGAGGAAGACTCAGAGGCCCTTACGATGAGGCAGGAGAGGCGGGGCAGCTCTGAGCCGGCTCCGCTCTCCCTCTGCCACACACAGCTGCCTGAGAGGAAGCGTCACTGGGGGTCTGCGGAGCCCCTGCCGTGCCCAGCGTTGCCATCTGCACTGACTGCCTCAAAGCAGGGGACACTCACTGGGGTGACTCCAAGGCCGAGGGCAGCATCTGCCTCCGACAGGGGACAGGCATGGGGACTCCCCCAGGGGGCTGGTCACGCACCTCCCCTGGGCCTTGTCACAGCCCCGCCCTGTGCCCCCGTCATGCCCGGCAGGTTCCTGCTCCAGCCCAGCCCCCAGGGGGCGGGCGCCAGGTGCTGGCCCCGTGGGTTTTGGTCTGAGCCTCAGTCACTGTGGTATATCTTCGGCGGCGGGACCCAGCTCACCGTCCTAGGTAAGTGGCTCTCACCTTTCCCAACCTGTCCCTTCCTCTGCTGTCTCCGGAAAGTCCGTTTTCTCTGTCTGGGGGCTCCTTCCCCTCTGCCCTCCTCGGCCTTAAGGACTGACCCCTCACCTTTCTCCGTGGCGTCTGGGGAGGCGGGTTGGTCTTGGGGTAACCAGCAGGAGCCGCCACCATCAGGTTCCACAGCTGCCCGCGGCCCACTCCCAGGCTGGCTGGGGTTGGCCAGCGAGGGGCTCCTTCCCCTCTCCCAGTGCAGATGCCCCAGTGGGAGGCAGAGGCCAGTTCTGACGAGGGCGACTGCGGCGGTGTTAGAGACAGTCCCCGAGACCCCAGGGTCTGGGCTGAGGGCTGGATGCCCATCCAGGCTGAGGAGGCCACCAGGGGCCAGGGACACGGGTACAGGGGGTCTTGCTGGGGGAGACAGGTGGAGGACGCAGAGAGGGCCCCAGGTCTAGGCTGCAGCTCTCTGGCCTCTGCTGGGCCATGAGGACAGAGAGACACAGAGAGACGGGTCACCCTGGGCGAGGTGACCAAAGTCCAGCCCTCCCAGGATGGGCAGCGGAAAGGAGTGGGTCCCTCGGGGCAGAGGCTGGTCTGTCCCCGGAGCCCTTCACCCCTGGGCCTGGAGTCTCACCTGCCCATGGTCGGTCTCCTGCCTTCCTCAAAGGGCACCTTAGACTCAGGAGGTGACAGAAGGTTGTGAATGGGGGTACAGAGAGCCCCATGGCTGCCGGTAAAGTCAGGAGTCATCCGAGGGGCTGAGGGGTCCTGCGGCAGCCATGCCCTGGAGTCTGGGGGAGCGGCCCCGAGAACACAGCCCAGGTGAAGCGTCCTGGGGTCAGGCTGGCGGGGACGGGGAGACGGCGGAGCCTCAGAAGAGCCCCGGGCTGGCCTGGTGGAGCCCACTCCCCTGGGAGAGCTGAGTGGGCCGGGCTGGGCCAGAGCCTGGTGCGCGAGGGGACAGGAGGCTCCAGGCCGCACCAGGCACCGGGTTCAGTCTCGGAGCTTCCCCACACGGAGCCAGGGCCATCCTGCGGGCTGGGCAGGGACCCCCTAGATCGCAGAAGAGGCTCCGGGCACTGGAAGAATAAAGTGGGGGGTCCTGGGTCTGGGATCCGGAGGTCGGGGCCAGATTCCAAGCTCAGACCCCAGAGACCGGGAGGAGGGAGCACAGCCTGCTCCAGAACATGGGGAAACTGAGGCTGCAGGGGGGAGTGGCTGGTCAGGTCACCTGGGAGCGATGACATGGGAATGGTGTCCAGGAGGGCGCTGGGCCGTCTGCTCTCCAGGCGGCTCCAGTGGGAAGAGGGGACAGGCAGAGGAGGGAAGGAGAGGCCCGGGTGCACCAGACGGCCACAACGTGAATGGTCACAGAGACCTCAGACGGGGTGGGGGCAAACACCCAGACTCTCCCTCAGCGTCCCACACCCCTCCCCTGTCCACACAGGTCAGTCCAAGGCCGCCCCCTCCGTCACTCTGTTCCCACCCTCCTCTGAGGAGCTCCAAGCCAGCAAGGCCACGCTGGTGTGTCTGATCAGTGACTTCTACCCGGGCGCCGTCACCGTGGCCTGGAAGGCAGACGGCAGCCCCGTCACCCAGGGCGTGGAGACCACCAAGCCCTCAAAACAGAGCAACAACAAGTACGCGGCCAGCAGCTACCTGAGCCTGTCACCCAGCCAGTGGAAAGCTGCCAACAGGTACAGCTGCCTGGTCACCCACGAAGGCAGCACCGTGGAGAAGACAGTGTGCCCTGCAGAGTGTGCTTAGGCCCCCGGCCCCCCCCACCCTCGGGGGCCTGGAGCTGCAGGAGCCCAGGGGAGGGGTCTCCCCTCCCTCCCAGCCCCTCCCCTGCACCCAATGAACCCTCAATAAATGTCCTCGTTGTCAATCAGAAATCCTGATCTATCTCATTATTTCCTATCTCGTATTTAATTTGACGATTCTCCCATGTTCTCAATGGGGTCTTGGGAGAATCCTGGCACCCAGTGGGAAAGGAGCCCAGTGGGAGAGGCTCTCAGTCTCCCTGGGGCTTCACTCCAGCAGGGCCTTCCTCAGCCAGACAGCCCTCTCCACACTCTCCTCTGTCCCCTTCAGCCAGCACGCTGGCACCCCCTCAGGCCAGGAGGTTCTCACACCGATCCTTTGTCCTCTATAAAGACCTAATCGTGGATCCACCGCGTCTCTAGTGTGGCCCATCTGTGTCCGTTTGCTTCTGCGGGGTGAAGGGTCACAGCACAGGAGCAGGGGTCGTTCTCGATGAGATCCCACCTCCCTGTGGTCCCAGGCCCCTCCATAAGCCACCAGGGACCCGGGTGAGCTCTGTGCGCTAGTGTGAACCTTGATCCAGAGCAGGAGGCTGTTCCTGGACAATGGATCCTGGGAAGGGAGAAGGACCCTGTGAGAGGGACAGGGGCATCCCTGAGAGAGGAATCAGGCGAAATCCAGAGGGACCCAAGAGCCCAGCTATGGGCTAGATGCAGAGACAACAGGGAAAGGCACCCTGAGTCAAGGCCGTCGTCCCAGCAGGAAAGAAGCTGAAACTCCCTGTTCACCACGGGGAACCAGTCAGAAGAGTCTCTAACTCATGAACGGTCCCTGGTTGTGCGGTCACCACAAAGTCATTACAAGGTTTGGACAATGCACACACAGGTGCATTACTCAGACTTGCACATCTACATTGGCTATGTAAACACACTGACAAGTCCTGCTGCAGTGAAACAGTCTCACATGATGAAACACAGGTTCTCCCAAATCATGTTGATCTCCTGTCCACATTTAGAAGACGCATAATACCCTGAAAGTTCCCCGAGCTCCATGCATCCAGCGGGGAACATGGTGTGAGCTTGATGCATGGGAGGGGGAGGTGTCTGTGTGGGATGCGGTGGGTGTTGGGCCATGGCCGGGCCCAAGGTCACCACTAACATGGAGCTGGCATCTCAGTCCTGGGAATCTGGACCACTAAAGTCAGGCCAGCAAAGACTGTTTATGGTTGGTTTGTGGATGGATTCTGGGGATATCGAGCCTGCATCAGCGGAGGACATGGTGACACTATGCATATGAGAAAAGGCACTGACCCCACCACAGAGGGGACATCCGTTGCTTGCCTGAGTGGCTCAGAGTGGGACTCGGGGAGCAGTGGGGGCCGAGTGATATCAGGTCGGGGCAGAGTAGTGGGGGCTGAGAGCTGAGTCAACCTCAGGTTCCACGGGGACTCAGCACTCACAGCCCCCCTGCCCTCCCTGCCCCACGGCCTCCCTCCCTCACCGCGGCTCAGCCGCCCCCACCGCACCTGCTGCCTGATGTCAGACACACACTTGCCCCAGCAACCCTGACGGCAGGCGACGTCGCCTCCTGGATGTGGAGGTTCCAGCCATCTCTGTAGGTGCTCAGTGCCCTGGGGCTCTCAGCCGCCCTGTCTCTGCCTTCGGCACATCAGGGAAGACATCTGAGTGATTGAACAGGACAAGGACAGAATCTGGAAGCACTGAGTCTGCCCCTACCTCCCCGGACAATCAGTGGACGCCCATTCTGTCCTCGGGCCGGTGCCTTTTCTCATGCGTGGGATCCTGTGACTCCAGAGGGGTCTAAAGTCACAGCAGGGCAGCGAAAGTGGTCCTCTTGGTGCTCTTTCACAGCCAGCCCTGCCCCGCAGCCCAGGCTCCGGAGTGGAATTAGGCCGAAGGGTTCTCCTGTCCAGCACCTGTCTGAGCCCACTTCATACACGGGAAGATTGACACTCCGGAGGGCCGGACCGATAGCCCTGCTGGGTGTCATGCCAGAGGCCACCCCATCGCCACCTGCTGCCCCACCACCAGCTTCCTTTTATTGTGCTACAAGTTTATATTGTGGAGAAATCGGAAATAAAATTAAGGAGAGGAAGGAGTAATAATGACCCCAATGTCCCATCACAGCCACATGAGGAGCAATTGACGGACAACTCAGACCCCCCACCGCAGAATGTCACCTCCCTCGCTCCATGTTTAAAAGCAAGTTCCATCCACCCTGCCATTTTACCTGTAAATATTCCATGTCTGTCCAGGAAACATACGGACCTAAAAATAAATGTACTATTATCACACATAGAAATTATCAGTAATTCCTTAATATCAAAAAGTAATCCAGGTCTCATCCAATCCCTCAGGAATGCCATAGTGTATGTACTTCGTTGCGCATTGGTGCTGTTGTTATTTTGGCGGTTTTCCTTTGTTTCTGAGGCTTCGACGAGGTTTGAATCCATGATGAGCGTGTATTTTGTGGCCTGGTGTCACCTGGGGGAGTCTCCCAGATGGCTCTAGTGCTCCCGGCAAGGCGGGAGCCACAGGAGCCGAGACCTGCTCCCAGGCCGTTCCCAGGGCCGGATGCAGCCTCGGCCTCCCCGAGCCGGAACCCAGCGCCTCTGTCTGTTCCGCTTTCCCTGAAAAGTTCTTCTGGCATCAGAGACTTCAGGGGTTCAGGCTGGACATTCGCAGTACTGCTTGCAAGAAGTCCGGCTACTTCCAGCAATGACACCCTTGTCCGGTGGCCATTCGTTTAGTGACATTAGTTGAGTTGGATGAGCAGGAATGAGGAGGGTCAATGTTTCAGTTCACGTCATCCTCCTGAGAATTGCAGTCTGTTCATGAAGGGAGGGTCCTTCAGGTGCACGTTAAACACCCAGGGGTGTGTTTCATGTTCTAGGAAAGAAACACTTTGCACAGAAGTGGCCAGTGCCCTGCAGCGTCGCAGGCGAGCACGTGGCGCTTGCTGTGGTGTGAACTGGAATCAATGAGACGGGTTACGTAAATAGACATATTAAATAAATGTGTGACACAGACGTGTTGGAATCCACTATCATTCTATTAACATTTTAATGACGATGCCATCTGGCCACATTGGTGATGACAAGGAGGCTACAAATAGTGGACATCCATCCAATTGAAGTGTCCTGGGGTGGACCTGAGTCCACTTTCATGACCCCAGGGGACTTCCATGGCTCTTGCTTTCTAGAGTGACAACATATTCCACCTCCTCATGTTCCTTTCCTGGCCCAAGCCTGGAATCAGCCACTGATCATGCTTCCCTCTAGTGGGAGGTGACATTGGCCCCCACAGTCGGGACCCTCGCTCGTGTGCCCCATTGGAATGAGGCAATGGCAGCCACCACACACCTGACCCACCTGCCATGAGACCAGATTGAGGGGACACAGGGATGCTCCCAGGTCAGCCTGGAGGATGAGGCTGGCATTTCCCACAGGGACCAGCCAGGCCTCACTGGCGAGGCCCACGACAAGCAGGACAACCCAGGGAAGGTGGCACTGACACCCCTGCAGTCAGGGCCGGGGTCATAGGAAGGTTCCCAGGACACTGCACTCGAGGGAAACATTCCCTTCCCTGGGGGGAGGAGGACACCATGTGTCACCCAGTGGTCTCACCAAGGGTTCGGGAATGTGTCAAATCTGCTGAGGGGAGACCACCCGTTCCCTTCCACAAAAGTTCACTCCTTAGTGCCACACATGTCCTCCAATGAAGTCATTTCTGTTCCTGGCAGATGGTCCTTGGGAAAACCCAATCCGACTTCCTTTGGGAATCTTGGCATCAGGGATTCTGCTGCTGCTCAAGGGATGTCAAATGTCCTCTTACTGTGGGATAAGGGTGGGGCCGTGTAGTCCCCCTGCTGAGCAGATGCCACCTGGGGCAGTGACCCAGCTTCCTCCCTCACAGCTGCAGCTGGGGGCTGGGGCTGGGGGTCTCAGGGAGGGGTTTTTGTACGAGCCTATGTCACAGTGTTGGATTTTCGGCAGTGGGACCAAGCTGACCGTCCTAGGTGAGTGCCTTCTTCCCTCTCCTTCCCTGCTCTCCTCAAGGTTTTTGGCACTTTTCTGCTGCTTTTGCTGTTTTCTCTGTATCTTGTCTCAGCCTGGGGTCAAGCTTTCTCCCTGCACCCAGCTCTGGGGTGAGGATCACCCTCCCTGCTCAGACCCCTGCATGCCTCACCCCTTCCCTTCTGACACCAGAGCCAGGGTGCTGGACCTGGTGACCTGGTCAGACTGAATTGTCTCTCTGTCTGTCTGTCTGTGTCCCTGTCTGTCAGTCTGTCTGTTGAAATAGGTTGGGTCCCTGGAACTTGATCTGTTCTGTCTTCCCCCATCCAGGCCCCTGTAATACCTGCTTTGTCTGTGGAGTCGCTTGGGCCCCATAACATGGGGAAGAGGGAGCAAGAGACAGGGAAGGAGTGACCAACTAGGAGACTTTAGAATGATCTGGAACCCTCAGGACTGAGGCTGGGGAACCAGGGTTCTGAGTCTCAGGGCCGGGTCCCCTGGGCTGTGGGACTCAGGGTTAAGGCCAGGAAAGACATAGGAGGTCGAGGGCTGCCAGGGCCTCAGGGCTGCCACGGCCGAGCTCTGAGCCGGCCTGGGACTCAGGGAAGCTCCAGGAGGGAGCAGGAGAGGAGGTTCTGGGTGCAGGGGGTCAGGCGAAGGTCCTCACAGGGGATGGTGTGAGGGGAAGGTGGGTCCCTGGGGCTCCCAGGGACACAAGTCCTCCCACTCCGGAGTCCCAGAGACAGAGGACAGAGTCCACAGCATGAAACTTCCGCTGCTGCGTCCAGGTGCCATGGAGGGGACGGGAGACACCAGGAAAGTCTGTGGAGTGAGAGACTCTCAGGAACAGCAGACAGGCTCCCTCTGTCCTCCCCAACCTGGGCTCTGACCCCACAGAAAGTCCCCAGGACACAGATCTGGGCACAACAGACTGGAAGGGCAAAGGACCCAGAGTCCCTCAGAGAGAAGAGTCAGGGCACAATTGTCCCCCGGCCCAGAACCCACAGGAGAGTCTAAACCTCACCTCTTGTGCTCAGGGGACAGACAAGTTGGTGAAGGCCCTGTCAGGATGGCAGGAGGAGCCACAGGCCAGAGGAGAGGTCAGCTGTCTGTGAGGGAGGCCAAGGCCCAGAGAGGGCTCAGGACAGGGGATGGGCAGGCCCAGGCTCTGGGGTTCCCAGGACAGACGAGGAGTTTCTGAAAAGAACATGACCTACGCTCCTGTCATAGACCCTCGGCCCTGCACAGGTGCCCTGACCTGGGCTTGGTGACCGCAGACCCCTCCTCACGCCCTGAGGTGAGGGGCTCCCCAGGTGGACACGGGACTCTGACCTCTCTGCCCCTTCCCCACCCCACAGGTCAGCCCAAGGCCGCCCCCTCTGTCACTCTGTTCCCGCCCTCCTCTGAGGAGCTCCAAGTCAACAAGGCCACACTGGTGTGTCTGATCAGTGACTTCTACCCGGGCGCCGTCACCGTGGCCTGGAAGGCAGACAGCAGCCCCGTCACGCAGGGCGTGGAGACCACCCAGCCCTCGAAACAGAGCAACAACAAGTACGTGGCCAGCAGCTACCTGACCCTGTCACCTGAGCAGTGGAAAGGTAGTAGCAGGTTCAGCTGCCTGGTCACCCACGAAGGCAGCACCGTGGAGAAGACAGTGTGCCCTGCAGAGTGTGCTTAGGCCCCCGACCCCCCCCACCCTCGGGGACCTGGAGCCGCAGGAGCCCAGGGAAGGGGTCTCCCCTCCCACCCAGGTCATCCCAGCCCTCCCCTGCACCCAATGAACCCTCAATAAATATCCTCGTTGTCAATCAGTAAACATCGTCTCTGCTTATTTTTATTCATACATTTTCCTTCCTAAACTCGACCAACCTGAATGATAAACAGAATCCTTTGACCTTGTGACCCAGCAGCCAGGGAAAGCTCCTGGGGTTTCCCTGTGAGATACATTTACTATTACCCTAACCCCTACAGAATGTTCCAGAATGAACAAATCGCCCTCAGAAGGAACCCAGGCCCGCTCTTTCTTACCCACCTCTCCCCTGTGCTTCCTGCTGCCCTGTGCATATGCCACCTCTGGCAGCCCAGCGACAAGCTCCCCCTCCATGCCCTTGGCCTCCAGGAGAATGTCTGAACCTCTTCTGTTCCCTTGGCCCTACTGCCTGGACAGCCTCGCTCTCTCACCGTGTGCTTCCATCTTCTCCTCTGGGGCCAGGGCCTTGCTGTGTCCCTTTGCTAACTGGGCATCCCCTTAGACCCTACAGCAGCCCCTCTTCCTCAGGGGCCACCCTGCACCTGTCTTCCCAGGGACCCTGCCCTCTGCCTCATGTCCCCTCCCTATAGTATGTGCCTCCCGGACCCTCACCCTGGGCCCTGGCCACTCGCCCCCCACACACCCCTGGGTGCCTCTTGTCTCCCACATGTCACTGGGTGTCTGGCTCTAGTCAAGGCCCTTGGCGGGCAGGGGTTGGCTCTGCTCCCCAGTGACCCCACTGCAGGTACCTAATGTCCCAGTGTCCCCAGGTTTTCAATGGGCTGGTGAGCTCAAAGTCAAGTGTCAGATTCTTGGGTTCTGCCGTGGGCTTGGTATAAGCTGGCTCTTTGCTTAAGACTTCGGAGTGAGATCTAAGCTATCACGCACGCACACACACACACACACAACGCACACAAACACGCAAGTCCATGTTGGGCATCTCTCTGGGAGGATCGGGAAGGGCCCAGGTGGAAGGTGCTGCAGAGGGGCCCAGGTTGGGACATGAGCAAAGAAAACCCAGGGACCTGTAGTCCCCAGGCTCTGGGGCTCCAGGGCCAGCCACTGACGTGGCAGAAGGGCAGGATTTTCCATCCAGGCCAAGAGGGAAACAGGACGCCAGAGGAGGCTCACAGGAGGAGGTCTGGTTGGGAAGTGACAAGTGGATGTCAGAGTCAGCAGAGTCACTCGCTATGGGGAGGGCAGGGTGACAAGTGCATGTCACAGGTGTGTGAGCTCTGCAGGTGATAAGCCAGGACCAGGATGCACATCCAGGCCCTGTGTGTCCAAGGCCAGCTCTGTAGAAGCCCATCCGTGTGGGGTGCTGTGTGTCTGCAGGCTGTGGGCGCACCTGTGCGCACAGGAGACTACAGAGCAGCTGTGCACGTGGGTGCGTGAGCAAGCAAAAGGAGCTCAAGGGGAAAGCAGGGACCCCCACAGAGAGCTGGTGGGGGAAACTGTGCTGAAGTAGGACCTAATGAAGAGCTCCCCTCTGGGCCACTCCGACCGCTTCAGCACACGCAGCCCTGCAGAGAGGCAGCCGTCCCATGGGTTCAGGACGTGGACTCAGGCAGTGAGCGCACACTGCACCTTCAGGACAACCAAGTGAAGGACAGGGACACCGGAGCTCAAACTTGCAGTGGGTTCTGTGTTCCTGGGGGAAACGGAATTCTCCCCCCACCCCCAGATCCCATTCCAAGGCCCATCCACCAGGACCCCTTGCACTGAGGATGTGGGGGGCATCTAGGACTCTCCCCACCACCATCTCAGTGTTGTAACCAGGCCTCTCCCCTCCTCCTCACTGGCATTCCTGACACCCGCTGAGCCAGGCCACACAAGTCCCTTCTGGCCATGCAATTAGCTGGGAAACGACCTCCATGAACAGCCCTCGCAACCCTCTCCCATGACCGGGCTGGGTGGACTCCAAAGCCCTGAAGGAGGCGAAGTTCTGGCCAGTGGGAGCAACCCCCTTCTCCCCCGCGTGGCTCCACCAGCCCACACGAGAAGGAGGCTGGACCCTGGGCCTCCCGAGCAGCTGCAGGTGGGCCTGGGCCGGGTGTGTCGGGAGGGGTTCTTGTGCGGGGCTGCGTCATGGTGTTATGTGTTTGGCGGAGGCACGAAAGTGATCATCACTGGTGAGTCTCTCTCTCCCTTTCTCTCCTCTTTGGGGTGTGGGGTGAAATGCAGGGAGTTTTTCTGTCCTTTCTGCTTTCCCTAGGGCAGGGACCTGAGACTCTCTGGGGTCTGCAGCTTTTCCCCTTTTTGTCTGGCCTTCCACCCTGTCCACTCGTCCACACTTCTCAGGCACCTGCTCTGGGGAGGAGGGGAAGATCCCCGTGAGCCCCTCCTGCTCCCTGCTGGGGCCTAAGTGTGTCCCCTTGCTCCAGGGGGCAGTCTCCCCTGGACTCTGGGACATCAAGTCCCTCCCTCAGAGTGTCCATGCTCTGGGAACCTGCAGAAGAGGGGGCTCAGACTGGGGCGCCGGGGCCGTGGGTGTGGGAAGGATGCTGGGAACAGCTGGGCCTCCCGGGGTTCCGTCCTCTGAGGCTCCCAGCTGTGGGGCTGCCTTAAACAGCGAGAGGGGAGGCCTTTGGCTGGGGACTTGGAGACAGGGAGTGAGAAATGGGAGAGGGACAAGGATGGAGGAAGAATGTCCCGTGAGAAGGTGGCCCCAGGGAGCTAGGTCCCTCCTGCTCCTCCTCTCCCAGGACAGGGAGGTTGTTGTGGACTGGGTGAGCACCCCTCCCCCATCCCACCAAAAGGGAGAGACCCCAGAGCATATGCCAGGGGTAGGGACTCCTGGGAGGCACAAGTGGTGGGACCTCTGGAGGCAGAAAGATACCCCAGGACAGCTAGCTGTCCCGGATAACTTGCATGGCAGGGAGACCTCTTAGAACAGCCACAGCCCCAGCCTCCGAACAGGAATGGATTTCCATGGCCACCCTCTGTCTCTCGGACTCCTGGGGACCAGCCCCTGGGACTGACACCCCCTCCCCTGCGAGGCAGCCCAGAGGGGTCTCTGCGGGGAGGTGAGGCGAGGCTGCAGTGATCGTGCCAGGGGGACGTGTGGGCAAGAAGCCCACTCCCTGAGAGGGAGGAGAACCTCAGACAGGACAGAGAGACACCATCCGAACAGATCTGCAGGGGGATCCAACAGGAGATGTCTAGACAGATAGGCTCTCTGAGGACGGAGGAGGTCCCAGGGCTTATTCCAGCCAGTATCGGGGAGCAGGGATCGGGTGAGGGGGGATAACTAGGGGTGTGAACCCATAGAAGAGGCTGGAGCCAAATGGAGACCCGACTCCCCTCAGTCCTCAGACACGTAGGAGCCTGCCACCAGCAGGTGAGTGTCCCCACACCACTGACCTGGCCTCAGTCTGGCAAGGGCCCGGCCTGACGCCACTGCCCCAGGCCTGAGTCCTACATCCCTCGCCAACACTGAGGTCAGGGGCTCCCCAGGTGGACACAGGACTCTGACCTCTGCCCCTTCTCCACCCCACAGGTAGACCCAAGGCCGCCCCCTCCCGCCCTCCTCTGAGGAGCTCCAAGCCAACAAGGCCACACTGGTATGTCTGATCAGTGACTTCTACCCGGGCGCCGTCACCGTGGCCTGGAAGGCAGACAGCAGCCCCGTCACGCAGGGCGTGGAGACCACCCAGCCCTCGAAACAGAGCAACAACAAGTACGCGGCCAGCAGCTACCTGACCCTGTCACCTGAGCAGTGGAAAGGTAGTAGCAGGTTCAGCTGCCTGGTCACCCACGAAGGCAGCACCGTGGAGAAGACAGTGTGCCCTGCAGAGTGTGCTTAGGCCCCCGCACCCCCCACCCTCGGGGGCCTGGAGCTGCAGGAGCCCAGGGAAGGGGTCTCCCCTCCCACCCAGGTCATCCCAGCCCCTCCCCTGCACCCAATGAACCCTCAATAAATGTCCTCGTTGTCAACCAGAAATCCTGTTCCGTGTCATTATTTCTCCTCCCATGTTTAATTTGACACTTCCCTCGGGTTCTCAGTGGGGGTTCCGGGGAATCCTGGCACCCAGTGGCAAAACAGCTCAGGGGAGAGGCTCAAGCCTCCCCAGGAAAACACTCCAGGCCCCGAGGAGCTGGTCGTTTGAGTATCAGTGCCTCTGCCCTCTCCTCCCCCCTCCCCTCCTGTCAACATGGGGCCTCCCACTCCCTATCTCCTTCCTGGACGGAGGGGTCCGTCCGCTGTCCATGGCTGCGGCCTCCAGATACACCTACTTGGGACCCCTACCCGTCCTGAGTCCTCTCTTCCCTCAGCCTGGAAACCCTGCTCTGGGCCCAGATCTCTCCACCCAGCCCTTGCCCCCTGCAATACCCTCCTTCCCCTCTGCCCAGCTCAGCTCCTGCCCACGCTCACTCGTCACTCTCACTCCTGAGAGCTGGGCTGTCCAGGACATTCCAGCGCCATCAATTTCATAAGCTCTTAAATTTGGGGCCCACTTGGATTTTTCCCCAAACTGCAGGTTCAGAGGTGTAAGAGGAATAGGAGGAAGCCAGGAAGGAAACTGACACCAAAGACCTGCCAGGAGGTTCCAGACGCTTGCCAAACATAAGCACTGAGTTCCCTAGGAACTAGTGTGAGGAGGGAAATAAGAGCTTTGTAATTTCTATGAGATTAAACAAAGCCTTTGCTAGAGAGAAATTGGTGTTCTCAAGGCTGAAGCTGGGCATCTTGTCACAGTTAAAACTGGGGATGTGTTTTACCCAATGCTTCAGCATTGAGGGGAACTGGGCTCTGGCATGGGTGAGCTCCCAGGAGCCTCGGGACACAGCGATGGCCATGAGCCAGCTCGAGGGAAGTGCTCGCAACTGACCTGCTCCTCCTCAGTGCTGGGCAGTTGCTGTCACTGGTGGGTGGGTGGTGGGATCAGTGTCTACATAGCAATAATCCCCTGATTCACCCCAGGGGGCCCAGCCAGGCCAGCTTGTGCCCCTGGATCCAAGGTAGGTCCTTAACATAGAGCCACAACACCCTGCACCCACCACAGAGCCGAAGTGACTCCCACCCCTGTCTGATGCCCACTTGGGTGTCCCCCAGGTCCCTGGGCTGTGTCCCACTCATGCCCCAGCTTTGCCACATGGGAACCAAAGAGAGGGAAGGTGTTCCCTTAAGGGTGTGGCATAGAAAGTTGCCTGCCGTCTTCCTGGGGTGGGGATGGGGCATTATTTACTAGGTGTGGGGGGAGAGAGCGCAGCCCAGCCCACCTCAGCGCTCATGCGTGGTGCTCCGGCCCCTCTGCTGCTCTGTGGGGGGCTAGAGAGGGTGGGGGCACAGGCAGTGGCCAGGCCTGTGTCGCCATGGGAGGGGCTGTGGAGCATCCTGCGTGAGTCTCCCTCAGCTCCTGTTTGAGTTTCCTGTGGCTGCTGTAACAAATGACCACAAATTTAGTGGCTTAAAGCAGCATGAATTTATTCTCTCACGGGTCTGGAGGTCAGAAGTCCGAAATGAGTCCTGGGGGCTAAAATCGAGGAGTCGGCAGGGCGGCGCTCTTTCTGCAGACTCTGGGGGAATCCAGTTCTGTGCCTTTTCCAGCTGCTGTAGGACACCCACATTCCTTGGCTCGTGGCCTCCTCTTCCATCTTCAAAGCCAGCAGTGTGGCAGCTCCAAATCTCTCTCTCTCTCCCTGCCCCGACCCCAAATCTCCTTCTCTTACTCTGACCCTCCTGCCTCCCTCTTTCCCTTTTAAAGACCCCACCTTGGATCCACCCAAACAATCCAGGATAATCTCCCTCCTGAGTCTTCCTAACAATGTCCCTGTGGCCACACAGCACAGCACATTGACAGGTTCCGAGGTGGGGACCCGACCGTCTTTGGGGCACCCTTATTCAGCAGACACAGCTCTGTTTCTAGCTCCCTAGGGATTCAGGAAACCTCTCCTCCCCGCTTCTCTGTGCCCTGACCAGTTGGGTCGGGGCCACTCCTGCAGGTCTTCCCAGCCCAGGGTCTCCTGCAGCCCCTTCTCCTCCTGGGGTCCCGGGGAAGGGACTGTGATTCTAGACACAGCTCGGGGGCATTTTCTTCCTGAAGGCCCCCTGAGGCTAAACACTCTCCACACCTCACCTCTCCGCCTGCCCTTGGAGCAAGATCCTATAACGACCCTCAGCCGAGAGCCCTTGAGTGACCTGCTCGGGCCACAGCAAGGAGTCAAACCTGAGCCCACCCAGCCCAGGTGTCCAGCCATCCTCGGCCCACCCAGCCAGGCCCTCTCACGCTGTCCAGCTTCCTCTCTGGAGAGCTCAGAGCCCACCGGACCCAGGACCCGTAGCCCAGCCCAAGGGGACAGGGTTATGGGGGCCCACGACAGAGGGAGGAGGACAGGGGCCTCCGGTTGGAGTGGCTGGTTTCCTCATGCCCCTTCCCCTTCCTCCACATCAAAAATAAGCATCAGCCAGGCGCGGTGGATCACACCCGTAATCTCAGCACTTTGGGAGGCTGAGGCAGGAGGATCGCTTGAGGCCAGGAGTTCAAGGCTGCAGTGAGCCATGATGACACCACTGCACTCCAGCCACTGCACTCCAGCCTGGTAGACAAAGTGAGACCCTGTCTCAAAAAAAAAAACACTGGGTTGGGGCTCTCAAGGGAGGGGCCATAAGAAGGTCCCCATTCCTAGTCCCGGGTCCAGGGCTCATCCTGTCCCCCACCCTGGGAGGGTCAGTCCCCGGTCGGTGGCTCCCCAGCCCAATCTCCCCATCCCTGGTCCCAGCTGCTCCCTCAGGATCCAGGACTTCCCTGTAACATCTTCAGTTCGGGGTGCCCTCCCAAGGGAAGAACCCCTGGAGCTCCGCGTCTGTGGCCCTGGGAGCCGTGGTCCTCTCGGGGCCCCGCACGGAGCACAGTAGGTGCCAGAGGGTGGCTGTGGAGTGGTGACGTGTGAGAATCCCAGGGAACAGGCCAGGCCGGGTCCCCCTCCGCCCCTCTTGAGCCCCTCTTAGCCCACCCCACCCCTCCCTTTCCCCCAAGACCCTCCGGGGCTCCCATTTCCTCCAGGAGAGGGTTTGCTTCCCCACGACTAGTCGCTGCAGTCAAGGGGAAGGTGGCAGAAGGACACCCAGCAGAGGCGACTTGACTTCCGGGACCCTCGGGCCCTGAGACAGATGCCCTTTGAGGGAGAGGCCACCCCAGCACACAGAGGCTCTGGGCTGTCCAGAGTGGGGGCACCTGGCCCTCTCAGACCCACCTCCCCAACCTCCCCTCCCCCTAGCCCCTCCATGAAACTCGCGGCACCCCACTTCCCTGTGGGCACTGTGATTGGACATCAGGCCACCTCCTTCCCCACAGACCCTTGGGAGCTGAGGTTGATGCGGGGCTGGAACGATGGCTGGCCCCTGGTGACCCCAGCCCCACCCAGGCCCCAGACCACCAGCCACCAATCAGCTGCAGTTCCCAAATGCCGGTGTGCGCCCAGCCTCGGGTCCAGGCCCAGGCCTGGCACTGCAGCAGTGAGGGCGGGCTCTGCCTGGAGACCCAGGCCAGCAGCCAGGGCTGCCGCAGGGGCCCCGCCCAGCTCTGTCAGAGAGCCTGGCCCGCCGTCTGTCGGCCTCAGCATCTCAGTGTGAAGGTCACCTTAGAACCACAGGCGGGACCCTACTGGGAAGAGCTAATCCAGGAGGTATCCAAAGGCCTGGACCTGAAGACGGTCCATCGTGACCTCACAGACTCTTGAGGGTTTCATTTCCGTGATACAAAAAAAATGGGGCCACCATGTGTGAGACCCAACCTTCTGGGGACTGCGTGAGGAGCCCCTTAAATCTATGACTTGGGACACTCTGCAGAGCCCCTGACCTCTGACCTCCCTTAGCGGGCACCCGCGTGGTTTCCAAGGCACTGGGTCCCTCCAGAGTAGGATGTCTGGCCCCCTAGGCTGCCCCCCACACACCCCACCCACACCTTGACCATGGAGGGGGCACATCAGGGCCAACCCATTTCCCTACGACTCTCTCCACACCTAACAGACACCCCATTGTGACTCTTCAGTTCCGGCCCCGAAATCGGCTCCATGTCCCTCTGGCCACAACCCTACTCCTCCCAACCTAGAACCTGTCTGGGATGCCACCTTCTCTCCTGTCCCTCACAGGGTGTCTCCAAGGGCTCCCGGGCTCCATGGCCCCCTCCTGTCCTGACTCAGGCCATGCCGACAGCAGTGGCCTTCAAGCGGCTCAGTCCAAGGGTCCCTCACTGTCCTCCCTTCGTTGACTTCTGGGTGGACTTGAGCAACCCGCATCTTTCTCCCATCGTGAATCTCTTCATCCACCCACCCACCCCACAAAGGACGCACCCCTGAGGCCTCTTCGCTGTTGCCCCTGCCCCTATGTCTTGGCGCTTCCCTGCCAGGGCCCGGGAGATGGCACTGTGGGTGGCTCTTTCTTTCGCTGCCTGTATAACGAATAAACTGCTGGAATGTAAGAAGGGCTCCTTGTTCCTTCCCCGGCCTGTCTCTCAGCCTTGCAATGCCTTGGCCTTGACGGCCACCCAGGGCTGCTGACCTGGTGGCCGTCCCACCCCCCAAGCACCGTCCTGAGTCACCGCTGCAGGCAGGTGTCCTGGGACAGGGGCTGCAGCCCTCACGTCCCTCACAGGCTCAGCCGGGTGCCGGGCCGGGCACTGCTGAGCCCCTTGGTGGCTGCTTCTCGACTGTCGAATTGCTCTCAGCTCTGCTGCAGGTGTCCCTCACCTGACACCACCTGTCACCATGGTGACCCCTGGTCGAGCACCTCTTTCAGGGGAACTCTGAGCTGGTGTCTGACGTCCTCACGTGGTGTGGTCACAGACCACCCTCGGAGGCAGGCGTTACTACCCCCACACCTTGCAGAGGAGGGGACAGAGGTTCTGAGAACGGGGGCAGCCTGCCCGGCTCCCACAGCCGACCAGGGCTGTGTAGAAGGA